TTTTTTGTGAGACGGAGTCTCACTCTGTCGCCCAGGCTGGAGTGCAGTGGCGTGATCTCGGCTCACTGCAAGCTGTGCCTCCCGGGTTTACGCCATTCTCCTGCCTCAGCCTCCCAAGTAGCTGGGACTACAGGTGCCTGCCACCTCGCCCCGTTAATATTTTGTATTTTTTAGTAGAGACGGGGTTTCACTGTGTTAGCCAGGATGGTCTCGATCTCCTGACCTCGTGATCCGCCCGTCTCAGCCTCCCAAATTGCTGGGATTACAGGCTTGAACCACGGCGCCTGGTCACCCTCCAGAATTTTAAAGGGTGTATAATCTGTAACAACTCAGAGGAAGCCAATTGCCCTTTAGAAATATGCCTGCAATTCCCTCACTTTCTGTGTCATGTGACTCTCCCAGTCATCACATGACCCATCCATGTCAGGAAGCCGGAATTACCTGCAGGACTAACCTAGTGCCTATAGCTATGGCAGGTCCCTGCATCCTTGTTTTTGTTTAGTGGATCCTCTATCCTTCAGAGACTCTGGACCCCTGTGGTCTTCTCCTCATCCAATGACCCTGAGGTGATGGAGTTTTCCAGAAAGGTAAGAGAGAGCTCCCAATCAGCATTGTCACAGTGCTTCTGGAATCCTGGCACTGGAATTCAGTGAATGACAGACTCTCTTTGAATCCAGGGCCATCATGGCTCTTTGAGCAAGGCACAGATGGAGGGAGGGGTCGAAGTTGAAATGGGTGGGAAGAGTGGTGGGGAGCGTCCTGATTTGGGGTGGGCAGAGAGTTGTCATCAGAAAGGTTGCAGGGAGAGCTGCACCCAGGTGTGTGTGGGCCTTGTCCTAATGAATGTAGGAGACTAGGCCATGGGCACCCAAAGGCAGCTAAACTCTGCCCAGGAGAGTAGTTGACGGGGGCAGAGGGGCTTGCTTTTCAGCCACTCCTCATTCTGTCCTCAGGAATGTCCCAAGCCTTCGGGTAGGGTAAGCATCATGGCCGCCAGCCTCACAGGATTGCTTCTACTTCAGGCAGTGTCATGGGCATCGGGTAAGTGAGTCAAGGCGGTGGCGAGGTAGCACAGAGGCTCCCTTCTGCCTTGTAGTCCTTTGGTAGCCTTCCAGTACTCTGGTGGTAGACTTAATAGGTGCTTAATAAATCCTTTTGAGTGACGGAGACCAACTTTGGGGTGAGGAGTTTTGAAACCGTCTTCCGTCTCTCCGAGCAGCTGTGTCCGTTCTCCACATCCTCATCAGACCTCACCTCTGCTTGTGCTCCCTCCCCGGTGGTGCCCCTGCATCCCTAAAAGCTTCAGCTACAACTTGGTGGTCTGTGTCTGCAATGCCACATACTGTGACTCTCTTGACGCCCTGACCTTTCCTGCCCTAGGTACCTTCAGCCGCTGAGAGCAGAAGCAGTGGGCGTTGGATGGAGCTGAGTACAGGGACCATCCAGGCTAATTGCACTGGCACAGGTAAACATTACACCCTTCACCCCCTGGGCCAGGCTGGGTCCTCTTAGAGGCAAACGGTGTCAGTGATCAAGGAGTTTCTCCCCTGGGCCCTGACACCCTTATTCCCTGTGCATGTCCTTGGGCCTGCTACTGACCCTGCAGCCAGAAGTCCCAGAAAGTGAAGGGATTTGGAGGGGCCATGACAGATGCAGCTGCCCTCAACATCCTTGCCCTGTCACCCCCTGCCCAAAATTTGCTACTTAAATCGTACTTCTCTGAAGAAGATGAGGAGGAAGGGGACAAGATGACAGTGCTTTTGACACTTTTCTTTGCCCTTTCTTTGGATCCTGACTTCTGCCCATCCCTGACATTTGGTTCCTGTTTTAATGCCCTCTGAAATAAGATTTCCCCGCCTATCATCTGCTAACTATTATGGACTCAGGCTCAGAAAGGCCTGTATTTCACCCAGGTGCCAACCTCCACAGGTTCCAACCCAGGAGCCCAAGTTCCCTTTGGCCCTGACTCAGACACTATTAGGACTGACAAGTGATAAGCAGAGTCCCATACTCTCCTATTGACTCAGACTACCATATCTTGATCATCCTTTTCTGTAGGAATCGGATATAACATCATCCGCGAACCCATGGCCAGCTGTGACTTCTCCATCCACACCTACACCTATGCAGACACCCCTGATGATTTCTAGTTGCACAACTCCAGCCTCCCAGAGGAAGATACCAAGCTCAACGTAGGCATTCTAGCTTTTTCAGGCCCTGATGGCCCTGATGTCTGGGGGTTGAGAAGCTGTAGGGTAGGTCTGCTTATAGAGACGTTTTGTCCCCTGCTATTTTGTCTCAGGGATGGGAGGGTGGGGGCTGATGGCTGAACCGGATGCACTGGTTGGGCTACTATGTGTTCCAACTCTGGGTGCTTCTCTCTTCACTACCTTTGTCTTTAGATACCCCTGATTCACCGAGCCCTGTAGTTGGCCCAGCATCCCGTTTCACTCCTTGCCAACCCCTGGACATCACCCACTAGGCTCAAGATCAGTGGAGCAGGGAATGGGAAGGTGTCACTCAAGGGACAGCCCGGAGACATCTACCACCAGACCTGGGCCAGATACTTTGTGAAGTAAGGGATCAGCAAGGCTGTGGGATCAGGACTGGCCTCCCCTTTGGCCACGTTGATCTATGTCCCAACCCTCAACCTGGTTCCACTTCCAGATCTGCCTCTCCTCAGCTCACCTTTCTACCTTCTGGGCCTTTCAGACTTGGACCCGTCAGTCTTGGCCACTCCATCAGGCTTCCTGTTCTCTCAGTCTGGTCCACTTTCTTGGCCGGATCATTTATGACCTTTCTCTTGCCAGGTTCCTGGATGCCTATGCTGAGCACAAGTTACAGTTCTGGGCAGTGACAGTTGAAAATGAGCCTTCTGCTGGGCTATTGAGTGGATACCCCTTCCAGTGCCTGGGCTTCACCCCGAACATCAGCGAGACTTCATTGCCCATGACCTAGGTCCTACCCTCGCCAACAGTACTCACCACAATGTCCGCCTACTCATGCTGGATGACCAATGCTTTCTGCTGCCCCACTGGGCAAAGGTGATAAGGCCTAGACTTCCTTGGTGCTCCATTGACCTTCAAATCTAGCCTCCAAATGACTGGCTCCCAAACTTAGAGCAATTTCTCTACCCAACTGTGGATTCCTAGAGCACCATTCCCCTGGACCTCCAGGGCACCATGGATCCCACAATTGTCACTTTAAACCTCTCTAGGCTTGGGGTGGTAGCTCATGCTTATAATCCCAGCTCTTTAGGAACCCAAGGTGGGGGATCACGTGGACCTAAGGAGTTCAAGATGAGCCTGGGAAACATGGTGAAACCCCATCCCTATAAAAATAAAATAGAAAAGTTAGCTGGGTATGGTGGTGGCACGCCTATGGTCCCAACTATTCTGGAAGCTAAGGCGGGAGGGAGGTTTAGTTGATTCTAGAATTTGAGGCTGCAGCGAACTGTGATTGTGCCACTGTACTCCAGCCTGTGTGACAGAGTGAGACCCTGTCTCAAAAATAAAAACAAAAAATCCCTCCCAAAACTTCTCTAGTTGCATTCCACCACCCATCTTCAGGATTCCTACAAGAGGAAACAGAAGTTCCAGAAGCCTGTGTGCAAGGTCCAGGGTCACTTGCTCTTCCTTTGCAGGTACTGACAGACCCAGAGGCAGCTAAGTATGTTCATGGTATTGCTGTACATTGCTACCTGGACTTTCTGGCTCCAGCCAAAGCCACCTAGGGGAGACACACCACCTGTTCCCCAACACCATGCTCTTTGCTTCAGAGGCCTATCTGGGCTCCAAGTTCTGGGAACAGTGTGCGGCGAGGCTCCTGGATCGAGGGATGCAGTACAGCCACAACATCATCACAGTAAGCCACCCCAGTCTGCCTTCCTGCAAAGCACACCTCAGACCCCTTAGTAGTCTCACCAAAGACTGACAGACCTTTCCTGTCCAGCTTTGCCCAGCTATCCTGCCCTTTTGGGCAACTGGGGAACCATGATTCCCTGTCTTGCCTTTCCTTCACAGGTCTGCACACCTCATTGCCCCTTTTGCAACTACTAAGGCACTTTCACCTGCCTCAGACTTCTCAGCACCCATTGAGGTGCCTCAATCTTCACACCCCCAACTCCTTAGCAGCTAAGTAATGTGCCCCTCACAGGGCTGAGCTATCCACAGCCACTTCTCCTTCATGTGACCCTTACCTACAGTCTCTGGGGACCCCCAGTGTTGAGCCTTTGTCTCTTTGCCTTTGTCCTTACCCTAGAACCTGCTGTACCATGTGGTCAGCTGGACTGACTGGAACCTCGCCCTGAACCCCGAAGGAGGACCCAATTGGGTGCGTAATTTTGTCGACAGTCCCGTCATTGTAGACATCACAAAGGACACGTTTTACAAACAGCCCATGTTCTACCACCTTGGTCACTTCAGGTGAGTGGAGGGCGGGCACCTCCATTGCATATCAGGCCTATCATCTCCTACATCAGATGGCTTACATCACTCTACACCATGAGGGAGCAGGAAGGTGTTTAGGGTGGAACCTCGGGAGAGGCACACCCATCCCCTTTTGTACCATGGAGGCAGGAAGTGACTAGGTAGTAACAGACAACCCCAGTGCCTGAGGCTGGACTGCGATGTAGAAAAGCAGGGTCAGTGCCCAGCAGCATGGCTCCAGGTCTAGAGACCCAGGGCAGAGCTTCTGCAGGAGTTATGGGGTGGGTATGCGGGTGGGTGACTTCTTAGATGAAGGTTTCATGGGCGGTACCCCGAGGGACTCTGACCATCTGTTCCCACATTCAGCAAGTTCATTCCTGAGGGCTCCCAGAGAGTGGGGCTGGTTGCCAGTCAGAAGAACGACCTGGACACAGTGGCACTGATGCATCCCGATGGCTCTACCGTTGTGGTCGTGCTAAACCGGTGAGGGCAACAGTGGGGTCTGGGAAGTGGGCTGAAGACAGGGTCGGAGGCCTTGGCAGGATCACACTCTTAGCTTCTCCTCCCCATTCCCTAGCTCCTCTAAGGATGTGCCTCTTACCATCAAGGATCCTGCCGTGGGCTTCCTGGAGGTGATCTCACCTGGCTACTCCATTCACACCTACCTGTGGCGTCGGCAGTGATGGAGTGGATACTCAAGCTCAGCCTGGGCATTAAAAGGACAGAGTCAGCTCACACGCTGTCTGTGGCTAAAGAGGGCACAGCAGGGCCAGGGTGAGCTTACAGCGACATAAGCCCAAGGGCAGTGGTTTGGGTGATTCACTTTCCCCTCTAGGTGGTGCCAGGGGCTGGAGGCCCCTAGAAAAAGACCAGTAAGCCCCAGTGTTCCCCCAGCCCCCATGCTTATGTGAACGTGCACTGTGTGCTGCTTGCTTTGGAAACTGGGCCTGGGCCCAGGCCTAGAGTGAGCTCACTGTCGTACAAACACAAGATGAGGGGTGAGGGTAAGGAAAAGAAGAGACTAGGAAAGCTAGGCCCAAAACTGGAGACTGTGTTTCCTGGAGATGCAGAACTGGGCCCGTGGAGCAGCAGTGTCAGCATCAGGGCAGCAGCCTTAAAGCAGCAGCAGGTGTGCCCAGGCAGCCAGATGGTTCCTGTGGGACTAGCCAGGAAAAATGGCAGCTCTTAAAGGAGAAAATGTTTGAGCCCAGTCAGCGTGAGTGGCTTTATTCTGGGGGGCAGCACCCCGTGTCCGGCTGTACCAACAAAGAGGAGGCACGGGGGCCTCTGGAATGCACGAGAGTAGAAAAACCAGTCCTGGGAGCGTGAGGACAAATCATTCCTCTTCATCCTCCTCAGCCATGCCCAGGGCCCGGGTGCCTGGGGCCCGAGCAGGCGTTGCCCGCTGGATGGAGACAATGCCGCTGAGCAAGGCGTAGCCCACCATGGCTGCCAGTCCTGCCAGCACAGATAAGATCTGGTTCCGGCGCCGGTATGGCTCCTCCTCAGTCTCTGGGCCTGCTGGTGTCTGGCGTGGCGGTGGTACCTCAGCTGAGGGTCAAGGAAGGAAGGTGAGTTAGGGGAACTAGTTCTCAGATCCCTGCCCACTCTCCCCAGGGCTGCCCCTCCCATCTGCCCCTTACCTCCATCCCAGGGGAAGTAGAGACTGAGGATGTGGGTACAATAGGCACAGAGGTTGTGCAGCCCCCGCAGGTGGGCCTGCAGCTTCCCACTGGGCAGCTTTGCCTGCAGCAGCAGGGCCAAGTAGCTAAAGACGAAGGCGTCCAAGGAGGCAGGGCTGGAGCAGAGA